CAAACCTCTCGGGGATCTGGGGCCTCCGTTCCGCTATCAGCTCTGCGTTCCCATCATTTCTGGGACTCGGTTTCCCCAAATGGAAAGGGGCCGCCTCCTCCCGGAAATGCCCTTTCCCGAGGGCGTCCCAGCGGTTGTGGGCGCGGGTAACGGGGCTGCTGGGCCGGAAGCCGCCGGTGGAAGCAGGTGGAGCCATTGTACCTGGAGCCGGAGGCGGCCGCCGCAGGGTTTCTCCCCGCCACGCGGGGGCGCTGCGGCCAGGTGCGTACTCTGATGCTCCGGGTGTTTGTTAAAGGGACTGCGGGGCGCTTGATAATGACAGCTCACCGCCCCCCCACACACACACCCCCTGCTTTTCCATCTGGAGGGTTTTATCTGTGGGTTAGAGTAGCGTCTGTTACAAACGCCCTGGTCGCAGGGGCCAAGGGGAGCGGTTTGGTGAGAAGTGACGCTGGGGGGTTTTGTTTGGGGGGTGAGGGTGCTCTTTCCCCAGCAAGGGTTGGGGTGACAGAAACCACGGGGACGGGAGGCCTCACTCTGGCCCCAGAGCCGCCCCTCCCTCCTTCCCGCTGGCTCAGGGCAGCCTCGATTTGGTGGGGTTTCCTCGCCCTGCCTTTGATGGACAGTCCCCACCACGTGGTGTGAGGACCCACAGGTCTGGGACTTTTCCTCTAAAATGTTCCTCCTGCTGTTTGTCACGACCCCAGGCCGTGGCCGTCCCCACGCGGACGCTCTCTGACCCTTGTTTAAATTTGTGCCATCCAGCCCGGCCGCGTGGCTCAGTGGCTGAGCGTCGACCTAGGAACCGGGAGGTCACCGTTCGATTCCTGCTCAGGGCACAGGCCCGGGTTGCTGGCTCGATCCCCAGTGGGGGGCATGCAGGAGGCAGCCGGTCCAGGATTCTCTCTCATCATGGATGTTTCTCTCTCTCTCTCTCTCCCTCTTCCTCTCTGAAATCAACAAAAGTACTTTTAAAAAAGTCGGGATTTTGTGTGACTTGCCTTAAGAGTGAGGGTGCTCTGCCAGCCGTGGGCGCACTTTTCCCGATGGTGCCATCACCCCAAAGCTGAGCCGATGGGTCGCCTGGATGGGAGTGTCTTCAGGCCCCCTCCTCCCCCCTCCCCTGCCCCCCTCCCCTCGGGCATCTGCGCTGTCACCTCCCGCTCTTCTTGGTTCCTCTCACGACTGCACTCCTGTGAGCGGGGTCCCCGGGTGGCGGGTGGCGGGTCCGGCCGAGCAGACCGAGCTCAGAACCCACAGCCACAGTCGTGTTCGCGCCGCGTGAGCACCGCCCGCCTCCGACCCAGCCTTCGGAGGAGCTAGATATTTCATAATCCTCGGTCCCGAGAAGCAAGGTTAATCAGCACGCGGCTCCCGTATATTAATTGGGGTGAAGGGAGCGTTGCCGAATTAATGGAACGAATGGGGGGTGTGATGGGCGGCATGTTTTGCACGGCAGTCGGCTTTGTTCGAGCGTCAGGCTTATTCAGGGAGAATGTGCCTGCAGCCAGCCCAGCCCTTGAGGACAGAGTTCCGAGTCTGGACAGACGGAAACACCTGCCGTTAAAGTAGAGGACGTTTCTCTTATCAAAAAAGAT